CTTGGTCAAAACTAGGGTCAATGAGTTTGTCTTAAGAAGACCAGCAACTTACAAGCCTCAATTCCAGAAAACAATTTAACCTAAATCGGTGATATTACATAAAAAAACATAACCTAAGCTCGGAATTGCACTCAGGAGAGATTTTCGACTCAAAAAACACGAAGAAACAAACAAATATCAGATTCGTCTCGAACAGTAAAATCAGCGACACAACACTTCGTTTTGGGAAAGTCTCGACAAGAGCAAAACAGAAGTTGGAAGAGATAACCTGGACATCGTTTTCAGAGAAAGAAACCTCTAGGAACCATTTGTATCTACCTGGCTTCTTGGCTGGGAGATCCAGAAAGTTTATGTTGGAGAAGAGACATGGCTGAAGATGTAGCAGCCTTAGGTATTACCTTGCAACCGGGCTTCAAGAGGTTAGCGTTCATAGCATGGAAATCCTCTTCCATAGCTTCCAACACAGAGAATCTGGATGTCGATCTGGTGGCTCTCACCGTGGACGTCTCCCCAGTCCCCAATTTCTTTCTCACCATCAGTTTGTCGAGGCCAGAAAAGGGGTTGCTAGGAGCGCCTCGTGAAAGGGAGTCCCAGACCAGTCTCTAATTCGAGAGAACAGCGAAAAACCAGGTATTCGGACAACCTTCAACAAATCGTGAACATTGTTATTCGCGATTTTGAGACTGTTTTTTGGATTCGAGGTCGAATCTTCCTACCAAACTCAAATCCACGAATGGAAACAAGTTTCCGAGTGGATTGCGACTAAGAACATCAACAAAACCAACATCCAACCATCTAGCGTAGGTCACTACAGTCTGGGTCGCCGGTTCGTGACCCTCCGCCGGTGGCATCGCTGCAGCTCAGGCTTCGGGATTAAAATGATGCGAACGAATAAGAGAGAAGGAAGAGCTCGGTCTAAGATTGGTCGAAAACTAATTTCTCTTATTTAGAATAATGACCCCGAGCAAGATAGACTTTTTATGAGAATTATAAATATGACCCCGTTTTTATTTTGTCAGTGTCACTATATGACGCTGATACCATTGTGTCACAAAACTATGATATGTATGCATTCTCAAGACAATATGTCGTCCATTAGTGACACTTTATCACAAAGTGTCACAGACGAAGTGTCACTATAAGACAGTTTTCTACTAGTGTCACCTCGGTGATGACACCTCGGCCATAGAACCCAGATAATCACTCAAGAACCAAGACAACACTAGACCTGAGGTGCACCCCTGCACCTTGACCATCATTACCTCAGCGGCTCGGCCCACAAAGAACACTTTGGCAGAAGTCAATCAAGAAATGACACGCGTTAATTTCTGCTACGCCACAGGACTCTCGACAATAGATTAACCAACACGTGTAGTGCATTTAACACAAGTTCTCTCTCTCTCTAAACTTTGGCTCTCCCTTCTCTCTATTATATCACTAGCGGTTACCGGTAAACTATTACCAGACTATTACTATCCTTTTATATTCATAAAATAACTACTTATTATGTACATTAGAATAAATATAATTTCAAGCAAATTGTTGTTTTGCTCTAGATGTACCCGTGCATCGCACGGGTATTTCGTCTAGTTTAATTATTAATAGTAAAAGACTCTCTTTCCTTTAAATTCTAAAAATCAGCAAATTAGGTGAAGCAATTGCACAGAAATATTCCGTAGTTATTACGAAGTATGTACTTCTATTGAATCAATTAAGAAATACTCCCTCTGTCCCATTTTATAAGATGTCTTTACTATTCACTTGCTCAACACAAATCACTCTTAATCTCTTACTTTATATATCAAAATTTTATGAAATTTGAATAGTTTTTTGCAGGTTTTGTAGCGGTTTTAATGTAGTTTCTGAATATGTAATTCGTTTTTTCTAAAATTAATTTGAGTGCACACAGGGATCCGTTTGCTTTATCGTCGGTCAAACATCGTAAACCGAAAAGTATCTTATAATTTGGGATGGAGGGAGTAACGCTTTATTTATTTTTTGGTGTATTTCTAGACGATTAATTCACATTTATTAGGAGTGGTATATATAACGACTTAATTTATTTAAAAAAGTAGTTGCACTTTATAATTGGTAACATGCACATTTTTGCTTCAAAGTGGTATAACAAATTAATTTATTTAAAAATGTGGTTGCACTTTGTTATTCATAACAATGCACATTTTTGCGACAGTGCAAAAAGCATACTTGTTTTGTGTGGCGTAGTATTTTTGTTTATTTTAATATAGAGGATTTGGAGTCAAAGATGCAAAAGAAAAATACGTACGTACCTAACACTCACATGATTGGTCCAAATCATTAAATCAATTTTAATTTAGATTTAAATAATTCAACTGCGACCTTCTGATTGGTCCAAGTGGACAAAGGTTGTAGCTGCCGCCACTTTCCAGCCCCCGATTCCCTTTCCCGACGGCGTCTACGCCCTCAGAGATGATCTCTCGCCATTGAACATAACAACGACACCCTTGATCGATCACTACTCATGTCCTCTTCCGCGGCACAAAAGCTGTTGCTTACTATCCCGTCATCACTCCATATGAATTATGATGGTCACCGTACAACCATTGTAAGATATATGGACAATGAACATAGTAGAAGTACAATGTCAAATTAAAATTATGAAGGAAGATGCTATTAATATGACGTGCAAAAAGGGTGCATGTTTTGTGTAGCCTAGTATTCATGTTAATATAGAGGATTTGAATCACTCCCGGCGCAGCTCCTTCAATTCCAGCGTGGCTCCTTCCGGCGAGGCGTTCATCAGACATTTTAAGGCGCATCCATCACTTCCGGCGAGCTACTTCCAATCAGACCAATGGATAATCAGCCTGCTGCTTCTCACGTTATCAATCAGGCCGGTGCCACCGCATCAGAGCAAAATCGACGGCCCTACCCGAGCAAGCGGATCCGGGTCATCAGCCTCACACAGCAGCTCGGATTCCGGACAGATGGGCAGACGGTGATGTGGTTGCTGCAGCAGGCTGAGCCGGCCATCGCCGCTGCTCACTGGACAGCAAACCATCAACCATCCGCCGCCGCCGCCGCTTTCCAGCCCCCGATCCCCGTTCCCGGCGGCGTCTACACAGAGAATCTCCCTGCCTCGAACATAACGGCGCCGCCGCTGATCACTTCCCCCGTCGTCTTCGGCGGCACACAAGCTCCGACGTACTATCCCGTCATCACTCCTCCATTCGTCTACCAGCCACCGCCGCCGCCGCCGCCCTACAGCTGGGGTTATCCTATCCCCGGCGCTTACCAACCCCCGTACGGTGGTGGGCGTCTATGATCGATCTTCATCGGTCATTTTTTATGTAATTTCATTGAAGAAAATAGGAGGCAAAATGAAGATACAAACAAGCAAGATATGTTTGAATCAGAGTGCAAAATGAAGATACTTAAAATTTGGAAAGAAAAATTTGTAAATTATATATTAAATGTATTGGCTAAAATGTAAAATACTTGAAAGTGCACCTCTTTAGATTTTCAAAGTGCATAACAAGTAATTTATTTATCATGCATGATGCATCTTAGATATAAAATGTGCATACAGTGCATTACGATTCGAATAAATGTGCACCATTTTTGTTGACTTGAATTGTTCTATTAACATTATAAATACTACTATCTCCGTCACAAATTGATTTGCAAATTTGACTTTTCTTGATCAAACAGTTTCATTTTATTTTCTTAATTACGATGTCAGTTTTTAATTATATTTTAATTTGGACTTTGCAACTTTGAAAAAATTTTAAAGTAGTTTCTAAATATGTAAATTTTAATTACTAAAAATTGAGTTAATTATTAATATGGAAGATTGACTTTTATTATTAGTTGACCCAAAAATATTGACTTTGAAAAACAATTTGAGAGGGAGAAAATATATAAATTAAAATTAATACTACGAAGCTTTTAATGGAAAGTAATAAAAGTTCAACATGTACGTATATTTCATTTAATGGTTCAAAAGTAAAGCGCATCAGGGTTTTAAGGAATTTTTTTTTTAATGCTACGGTTCTATATATGGTAATACTAGTAATATTATATATATTGTACTCTTTTGCCCTTATCATTAATATCGTTATTGTGATCGATGTTTAAAATTGTTCTTTCTTAAAGTTCCCCTTAATTACTAGAGTGCCATCACCTATTTATATTCAATTTTCATCTTTGACTAATTATATTAGATGATTAGATTTTATTTCATTTGTTTCATGCTTCTCCTTTCTTTCTCACTGAAATTGTTCCATGTATGTATGTACGTACGTACGCATGTATGCATGTATGCATGTATATATGTATGTTTGTATGTGTATGTGTGTATGCATGTGTGTATGAGTGTATGTACGTATGTATGTATTTATGCATGCACACATTCATGCATGTATATGTATGTAGTATGTATATAAGGGAGAGTTCAAATAAAACGATGGATTAGGAGAGAAATAAGAACAAATCACACTCACCCAAAATAAGATCTACGACACTAATTGAGTTTTAAACGGTGGCATAAATGAAATTAGTCAAAGCTTTGGACAACAAGTGGAATACTTCATGTCAACGTAACTGAAAAGTTTACAATGCTAATTTAATTATTAATAGTAACAGACTCTCTTTCCTTTGAATTCTAAAAATAAGCAAATTAGGTGAAGCAATTGAACAGAAATACTCCGAAGTTATTATGGATATAGTATGTATTAGTGCACTGTTACTTTTATTATCAAGCTTGTGTGGACAATTTGGACAATTTGTGTGGCTCACATTCATTTTACCTTTTTCTCACACAATCACAACCACATATTTCCATTTTATTCCACTTTCTTAATAAGTCAAACCGGGAAGAATTTTTAGGAAGGGAGTATAAAGGAAGATGCTATATTAATTACGGGTATATGACGTGCAAAAAGGGTGCATGTTATGTGTAGCCTAGTATTCATGTTTATACGGAGTATTAATAAATAAGTTAGTATAGAGGATTTGGAGTCAAAAAGATGAAAAACAAAAACATAGAAAGAGAAAGTTCCTTCCAGCGTGGCTCCTTCCGGCGTGGCGTGTGTCAGGCTTTTATTAACGGCGCATCCATCACTTCGAGCATGTTCCTTCCGATCAGAACAATGGATAATCAGTCTGCTGCTTCTCACGTTGTCAATCCGGCCGGTGCCACCGCATCAGAGCCAAATCAATGGCGGTACCGGGGCAAGCGGATCCGACTACCCACCGAGATCGCCGACCGGGTCATCAGTCTCACACAGCAGCTCCGATTCCGGACGGATGGGCACACGGTGATGTGGTTGCTGCAGCAGGCTGAGCCAGCCATCGTCGTTGCTCAGTGGACAGCAAACTACCCGCCATCCGCCGCTGCCGCTTTTCAGCCCCCGATCCCCGTTCCTGGCGGCGACTACACAGAGAATCTCCCTGCCTCGAACATAACGGCGGCGCCGCTGCTGATCACTTCCCCCGTCGTCTTCGGCGGCACAGAATCTCCGAGTTGCTGTCCCGTCATCACTACTCCGTCACTCGTCTACCAGCCGCCGCCTTACAGCTGGGGTTATCCCATCCCCGACGCTTACCAACCCCCGTACCGTGGTGAACATCTATGACCGATCATCATCGGTCATATTTTATGTAATTTCATTTCATCCCATTCCGGCCAGGCCCTGCCGGCCGGTGAAGCTAGATTAGGAGTTAAGTCTAATATAATTTAATTCAGCCGGCCTCTTTAATTTAAATATATGATTAGATATATATCTAAATGCACGGTTTGATTCATTGTTGTATTTGATTATTGTCTCAAATTCATTTCCTTAATATTTTTGTCAAACTAGGACAAACATTGAGGGACCGAACTAGGTAGTATCTAGTTGACTAGTACTCCTATTATTATTAAACTAATAATCTGGTAAAGAAGCTAACAATTTGTGAAGAAAAATCACCAAAGATTAGCAATAAAAAAATAAACAAATCAAAGTCTATATATGGTATTTTAGATCTTTGATCGATATATTTTAGTCATTCAGGCCTATATCTACACGATTTATCCTTGTTGATAATAAATCAATCTTTCAGGTCCTAGATTGATAAAATTCCAAAAATAGTATAAAGATAATCTAAGGGAAGAAGGGATCCATGAATGATATGGAAATTCATCCCATGCACAAGTGAAAATCTAGTAATGAAAAGTTCTTAAATTAATGTGAATTATGTTTGTGTAAAAATAAATGGTGCAATTTTAATTTTTTTTGAATGGTTACTTTTATGAATATTAATGTGCATAGTGCACTCTAATGGAAATGTGGGGATAATTCATTGGATAAGAAATTTGAATGTGAATCGGGGCTAACTAAGTCAATGGATGGTGTTAGCCGTCCTATTGAAGAACATAGCAGGCAAAATGAAGATACAAAGAAGCAATATATGTTTGAAAACATTTAGAGTTCAAAAAGAGGTTAAAGTACCACTACGATTTATATATACTTCCTCCGTTCTTAAATAAATACAACGGTCAACATTTGACACTTGCCGAGACACAACTTTGACCATTCATATATATGATTTTGTATTAGTAAAAAATTAAAAAAAATAGATTATGAAAATTTACAATGAGACAAGTTTAACAATATTTATTCTATTAAAAAATATTATTATATTAATAAATAAAACGTAGTTAAAGTAGAATATGTGAATAGTATAAAAGTCAAAGTGTTGCATTTATTTAAGAACGAAGGTAGTAGTATGGTGACATGAGGACTATGGAGAGAGTGGAATTACAATGTAAAATTAAAATGATAAACAAGATGCTATTTATACGGCAGTGCAAAAAGCGTGCATGTTATGTGTGGCCTAGTTTTTTTGTTTATATTAATATAGAGGATTTGGAGTCAAAGATGTAAAAGAAAAACATATAAAAATTAGAAAGACGGCGCATTGATGTGAGAGAGACGTTGCCAGGATGGCATCCATGAATTTATGCATATATGGAATCCCTAGTCTTCACTGGTTGCTGCGCCAGGCTCAGCCGGCCGGCCATCGTCGTAGCTGCTCAAGGGACCGCAAACTCTCTATAATCTGCTGCCGCCGCTTTCCAATTTCCCGGCTGGCCGGCTGCGTCTACACAAATGATCTCTCCGCCTCTAACATAACGGCGACGCCCCTGATTACTACCCCCGTGTCTTCGGTGGCTCAGAAGCTGTTGTTTGTTATCCCGTCATCACTCCATTCGTCTACCAGCGCCACCTTACTACTGAAGTTATCCCATCCATGGCGCTTACCAATTGTTGTAAGGTGGTAGACATATATGATCATCAATTATTATAAATAAAATTATGTTATTACTTTTATATTCGAAATATGAATTTTTGTATTAAAACAAAGAAAGGGTAGAATTGGAAAGTTAGTCAAACTTAGGACATTTTTAAGTTATGGTCCTATTTTGGCTAAGAAGATATTTTATCATTATTGAAACCAAAGAAGATTGAAAAAAAGAGGGAAAAGGTGCAAATAGGCCCATGTACTAACCAAAAAAGGTCAAATAAGCCCTTATTTAGGAGGTTCTGTCCGGCCGTCGTCAATTGGGGTGGTTCCCGGTGGAATTTTTTGATGAAATTTTTTGAGCATCTTATTCATCAAGTCTAGTTTACTCATATCAAATTTCAGCTAAAACTTCAATCAGGAAGGCATTCAAATGAATTCTTGAAGATAATTGCGCTTCTAAGTGTGCAGTTATTTTCAAGAATTCATTTGAATGTCTTCCCGATTGAATTTTTAGCTGAAATTTTGTATGAGTAAACTAGACTTATTGAATAAGATGCTCAAAAAATTTCATCAAAAAATTCCACCAGGAACCAACCCAAATGGCGACGGCCGGACAGAACCTTCTAAATAAGGGCTTATTTGACCTTTTTAGTTAGTACATGGGCCTATTTGCACTTTTTTCCAAAAAAAAGAATACAAGAAGAGAAAACAATATGGCGTCAGATAGGGTTATTTCCTCATGCCATCGCTCCTCTCTCTTACTTCTACAAGTTTTCTTCATCACCATCCTTTCTACCTTTTGAATTCATACGTTTGGTAGTAGTCTTTGGTGCACTCTAATTTCTAAAGTGATAAATGTAACCTTTAATTCGGTTTGACACTTTGACTATCATAGTGTGACAGTACGTGTAATAAAATATTAAACTCAAATTTTATTTTGGCTAAAGGGTCAAATAGGTACATGAACTAACTTAAAGTGTTCAATTAGCCCCTTATATAGGAGGTTCAGCCAGGCCATCGCCAATTGGGGAGGTTCCCGGTTGAATTTTTTGATGAATTTCATTGAGCATCTTCTTCATTAAGTCTAATTTACTCATACCAAATTTCAGCTAAAAATTCAACCGGGAAGGTAGTCAAATGATTTTCCGAAATGTATTGCGTTGTTTAATTGCGCAGTTATCTTCAAAAATCATTTGGTGCTTTCCCGAGTGAATTTTTAGCTGAAATTTGGTATGGGTAAACAAGACTTAATGTAGAGGATGCTCAAAAAATTTCATCAAAAAATTCCACCGGGAACCGCCCCAATTGGCGAAGGCCGGGCAGAACCTCCTATATAAGGGGCTAATTGAACACTTTAAGTTAGTTCATGTACCTATTTGACCCTTTAGCCTTTTATTTTTGGTATTGTGGTGTAAATTTAGGGACTTTATTTGAAATTATATATATATATATATATATAGATAAGAGATCACATACTAACCATGCTTAAAATACTAACTTACTAACTCAATAATATGCAACACATTGAACTTCAATATGCAGTACAAATAATGTAAAGATGCACACTGTGAATTTCAATATGCAATAAAAACAATATGCAAAACTTTGAACTTTAATATGCAGTACAAATAATATGCAACACTTTGAACTTCAATATGCAGTACAAATAATGTAAAGATGCACCGTTTTTGATAGTTTGTAGGTTAGCATGGGAGGAATGGTTAGTATGTGATCTCACCCCTATATATATATATATATATATATATATATATATATATATATATATATATTGATGATAAATCATCCAAATATCAATCAATTATGTCAACATGCAAAAAAATTGATGCTACGAAGAAAATTTTGATGCACAAAAAAACTGCACTATACATAACAAAAACAATACGTCAGTTGAGAAAAGAAAACAATCACATAGCTTGATTTTAGAGAAGAAAGAGAGTTTGTGAAACTCTTCGAGGAAATGGAACAAGATTAGTAGAATAGTTAAAGACTTTCTGGTGAAATTTAATATTAAGGTAGATTCTATGGTACCCATAAGGTACCATACCTTTGTCCACATGGACCAATTAGAATGTTGTAGTTGAATTATTTAAATCTAAATTAAAAAAGATAAAGTGATGTGGTCCAATCAAATGAATGGTAGGTACGGTACCCCATTTTTTTAAAAGATGCGGGAGTTGTCACCTAATATTAATTGATAGGAATTTTATCAATTCAGGACCTGAAAGGTACACGAACTATCAATCTGGGACCTGAAAAATGAAATGTATCGATATAGGACCTGAATGATGAAAAACTATCAATCTAGGACCTGCATGATTGAAAACTATCAATATAGGATCTAAATTATCATAGATTTATTGATTTTTTTTATTTTCAAAAAATTAAATATTATTTAGTTTTATTAAACTAATAAACTTTTGTGAAGAAAAAATCATCAAATGTTAGCAATGGAATTAATAAGAAAATAAATAAATCAAAACCTATGAAATGTTAGGTCCTGGATTGATAGTTTTTCATCATTCGGGTCGTCCTATACCAATACATTTCATCTTTTAGGTCCCGGATTGATAATTCGTGTATCTTTCGGGTCCTGGATTGATAAAATTCCTAATTGATATTGATATCAAGTAGGAACGGTAAAGAAGTTTCCACAAGAAGGGGAAGAGAAAATTTCAACCGTAATAGGAAGGAATGGTGAATTCACATAATAGCCCTTCATATGATAAAATTAATTTATCCGAATGTTCAAAGAAAATGATAGATCTAACGATTGAGGCTTTCTTATTTCTCTGTTAAGAAAATGATAGATCTAACGGTTGAGATGCTTTCTTATATACATACGGTTGCACACCTGTATGTATAAAACTGCTCTTACTAATTGTATTAGTAAAAACTAAGAATAAAATTAAAGATAAATGGTACTCGTGTTATATTTTGATAATGATGGTAACCGTTCTATCTTACTATATACTCCCTCCGTCCCTAATAAAACTTCCAAATAGGTTTGACACACAATTTAAGATAGTGGGTATTGTGTGGTGGAGAGTTGTGCAGAGGAGAAAGAAATGTGTAAGAATTGTTGTGAACCACAAATTCTTTGCCAAAAAGGGAAAGTAGAAGTTTTAATTGGGACGGACGAAAAAGGAAAGTTGGAAGTTTATTTAGGGACGGAGGGAGTATAAAATGTGAATGACCGTTACATGGTCCTATTCAGTTGAAATAGTGATCGACGGTTACTGTAGCTTTACCAAAGGAGGATAACTTCTGTTTGCTCCCGTTTCATGCCCGCGTCTTCAACCGCTTGTGTGGACAGGGGGATACTTGCCACTGTTGCTCTATTTTGAACCTGCGGACGGGGTTTTCCCAACTACATAATATCCCATTCGGTGGCGTGGTTATCCATACGCTGAAC